CCCAGTATCACAGTCCTCAAAGTAACCATCAGACATTCCAAAAGCCACAGGGGAATGGATGATTATGGCAAATGATGGACAAATAAGGCTTGTCATCTGTTCCACAGGTTGTCAGAAAGGGTTCCTCCTGTCTAGTAGTGGGATGGTTTTACCAGCAAAGTCCTTCCCATAGCCTCTGAGACTGTTCATCTCTTTCTTTTTATTGGTTACTAGTTCATTTGCTACCCTGAAGCACACTGGGCTCACTACCTGTCATAGCGTTGTATCTATCTATCTATCTATCTATCTATCTATCTATCTATCTATTTTTTTAAAATAGGGTCTCATATAACAAAGGTTAGCCTCAGACTCCCCAGACAGCCAAAGATGAGCTTGAACATCTCATACTCCTGCATCCACCTCCCAAGTGCTGGGATTAAAGGCCTGTGCTACCACTGTCCAGCTCTCCCTGACTTATTCATGGTGTTCTGTTCCTCATCTAAATTCTGCTGAATACCTCTGTTCAGGATGCTATCATGACTGCTCTTTAGATGAGCTCTAATATCCTTTCTTTCTGTTCACAGAAGGTAACAGCATCTGAAGATTAACAAGCATTTATTAACTTGTTTGTTTGTCCTCTACTAGAAAGAGAGTGCAACAAGACCAGCTATTGTTTGAATAAATAAACAGACCTAGTGTCATGACTTTTCTTCATTATTCTAGAAAGGAAAATGGATATCAACATACTAACTTGGGTCTAGGGCATAATTATAATTAACCGATTGCCCAATGCTTTCTTCCCAACAAAAGCTCTGACTTTGTGAGGCCATCTGTTGATTTTTGAGTGAGCACTGTACACATGTAACACAGATCTAATGGTTTTGACTGTACTCACTTTCTGGTTCAATGTAAATAGAACAGAGAAGACTCAGGGCTGCAAATAAACACCATCCATACCTGAAGGCACCAGCGGCAGTAAGACAAGGACACTGCCACCCAGGAAAAGTGAACCAGCCATGGAATAGCGCCTGGTCACATGCTGCAGCAACAGCCAGGCCAGCACATAGGCTGGGACTTCAACAGCTGCTGAAAGGAAGCAGTTCAGGTAGATGTTCCCATTCAAGGTAGGAGTGGCAAGAGAAAGTCCAAAATAGCCCACTGATATGGTCAGCCTGCAACAGGGGACAGAAGAGAGCTGGAGAAGCAGTACCCATCTCTCCAGACCCATACAACTTACAAAGTATTCATTTTGACAAGTTCTGAACTGCTCTCGATGCAGGGTATGGAGAGTAGTAGTAGATTTCACTCTGTGCCTTACTTCCTACTATAAAAGTTAACTTTCCATAGGTAAATCATTTGCCAATGGACCTTCAGAACATTTCATCAGCAAAATGATTTATTAATTCTCACTGACTTCACTAGAGGAAAAGTCCCAACCTGTACTTCATCAGTAAAATCTTACACTAAAGCATTTACAAAAAAACCAATTGCACAACTCTTGTCAAATCTCTATCTCCAAAAACATTTACATTACAATTCATAACAGTAGCAAAATTACAGTTAGGAAGTAGCAAGGAAGATAATTTTATGGTTGGAGTTTACCACAACATGGAAATGTATTAAGGGGTTACAGCATTAGGAAGGTTGAAAACTACTGCTCTATGTATATCCCAGAAGGGCCATATCCAACTTTTTTGTTTCCAGAAAGCTCTTAGCAGTATCTGGAACCTGGAAGATAAAGTGTCTTCCCTGAGACCCTCCTTCAAACCCCCACTGTCCCAGCCAGAGAGTGTGGGTCTTCAACAGAGAACACTTTTAAGAGGAAACAGACAGGCATGGGGGTGGGTGGGTGCAGGGGGCATGTGCAAATGATAGACACCGTGGCACCACTGTAGAGAAGCTCCCTCTATCTCCATGAGCACATTAGAGTTTCTGTCAGGCTATTTACCACAGATAATCTACTGAGGGAGAGGACAAGGGACAGGAACAACTAAGCAAGGACCTGTTGGATTCCCTTGTGGGTCCCTAGATCCTAAACAGCCTCTTTGGTCACTTTCTCCTTTTCTGGGTTTCCATTACATCAGAGCTGTTATGTCCCTGTGGCTGCCATCCATCACAAGGAACAACCCTTGCAGCATGTGATGGCAGAGGTTTTCAGCTTTGGTCTGAGGCAATGTCTGTAGAAAATGTCCTGAGGGTGGGTAAGGCTCAGGCAGGTCTCACTTACGCACCACAGGATTATAGACATGATGGTGAGGATCCTGATATTCCCGGTTCGGATCAGATCAAAAATGTGGTGTGACTGAGCCTTCTTGGGATTTTGGTCTTCCTCTTGCTGAAAGAATATAGTTAATGGTATAAGGAGGAGAAAAACTTGGAGAACACCTGGAATCCATCATTTTCACTATCTACTTCTTAAAAGTTAAGATAGCATTCTAAGGTTCTTCCTTGAAAAGACAGTACAGTGACTTTTGATGACCAAGTCCCCATGCAGGCTCAGTCAATGACAAAAGGGAATGAAGGACAATTAGGGATAATGAGAGTTATCCAGCAATTGCAGAGGTCCAAGGTGACAGCCACCTCACTGCATTACCCTGCCCATTCTCACTGCCACCTTTCAGTGAGGCCTTTGAGTTTTCCTATGCAAGGTTGACCATTTTTCACAGAAAAATAAGGCTGCATATTTTACTGAAATGACATATAAATGGAATGAATATTTTGAGTCCTACCATGGAGCTGCTGGTCTTCTTCCAGAAAAAAATTAAATTGAAATTAGAAAACTGACCCACACTTCACCCAGAGTAACTTCCTATGAGATTCCATAGGGCCAAGGCCATCACTAAACCACATGTCTAAACACACTCATGCTCTTTCCTATCTAACCCAGCTTGGTAGCTTGTTTTTAATTAATCAGTAGTTCTGCAAAAGGTCAATTTGGGACTCAAAGAAATACTGAGACACATCATTGCCTCAGTGATGCCAATGAGGCTTACGGATTCACCCAGACCTATCCCTTACTTAAATCCCATGAAAGCCACCTCACTTAAAATGACCTCAGTCACATTTCAGCCCTGACTTTTGTGCTTCAGAGCCCTTCTAGAGCATGCTGAGTAACTGTTGCTGCTGGGCCACCACTTACGGACTCTTGGTGGCTATCAGCATCTTGGCTGCCTATAACAACTTCTTCCTCTCTCACAAGCTCCAAGTCCTCATGAGCCCAGATCATCTCAAACATGCCTGCTGCTTACTCTACAAGAAATGATTCAAGGCATATGAGATAAGGGCCTGGAACCCCGGGTGATAGGGAAAAAACAACTGTCAGAGCCAGAAGCTACTGTGTGCAAATCTGCCAGTGTTCAGATTATCTTTTGATGACAATCCTTGAATTTGTGGGATATTTGTATACAGTGTGAAGATGTAATACTTTGATTGGTATAATAAAAAGCTGAATGGCCAATAGCTAGATAGGAGAGATAGGCAGAGAAAGATCTCTGGGAAGAGAAAAGACAGAGTCAAGCCAGCTCCGAGGAAGCAGGGTGGGCAGTACAGAGAGATGCATTATTGAGTCACAGGGTGGAATCTAGATTTAAAAATATGAGTTAAGCTATATGAACTAGTTAGGAACAAACCTGAGCTAAGGCTGAGCTTTTATAATTAATAATATGTCTCTGTGTCATTATTTGTGAGCTGGTGGCCCAAAGAAAATCTCTCTATACCCTGAAGCATAAGAAACAGTAGCTTCTCAGAATGCTAAGTTGATGGAAGCCTCTTCCTAATGAAGGGTATTTTATTATTAATAGTCAGGGTTAAGCCAGACATAGTGGCATATGTCATCAGTCCCAGCTCTTGGGATGCATAGGCAGTCAAATCTTTGTGAGTTTGAGGTCAACCTGGTCTACACAGATTTCCAGATCAGTCAAGGCTACATAATAAGAGCCTGTGTTAATTTAAAAAGAGAGAAGAGGAAAGAGGAATGGTTAAAAAATATTATTACTTGGATAGGAAGTAAAGGACACATGGAAAAAAATCCATAGGCGAGAATAAGTAGCTAGAATCCATTCCTCATGCTCTGAGGTTTGTGTGTATTCATGGTCATGCATGTATATGTGTATGCACCACATTAATGTATGTGTATATGTAGGCTAGAGGTTGACCTAGGGCATCATCATCAATCACTTTTCTACCTTATACTGGGGACAGGATCCCTCATTGACTGGTTAGCTGGCTGGAAAATAAATCCCAGGGATCCTTCTGTCCCTGCTGTCCCAGTGCTGGGATAAGGGGCACACTCTGCCATGCCTGGCTTTTTGGTTGGCTGTTGGCACCTGAACTGAAGTCCTCATGCTTGCGTGCTAAACACTTTATACATTGAATCATCTCTCCATTCCTTTAACTTCTGCATTGTAATCAGACCTTGCCTAAGGATGGCTGGGATTTGGGTAGAGTAAGGGCTGGGTTCCTGTGAGCTGTGCTATATGCCCCTGACCTAAAATGACCAGTGTGAGCCTTCCACCAGCTTCCACATGGTACTTACCTCATTTACATCAAAGATAGTGGAAGGTGCAACAATCCCATTGGTTTTGGCAGCTCTGCGGATGATCACCTCTGCCTCTTTAATTCGGCCTTGAGAGACGAGCCATCGGGGGGATTCAGGAATAAACCTGGAAGTACAAATGCAATCTAGTGAGGCCTCCTGTTCATTTACTCTCCCAGAGGCTGGGCATGCTAATCTGCAGATGGGAGATGAGGTTTCAGATGCAGGGGTAGATGTGTGCAGTGTCAGGTGTTCATAAGGTGTTCATGGCCCAGTAACCACCTGAGGTATGATGATGCTGAACACCAACTGCAGTGAGAAAAAGTTGGAGCATCTTGTACATCACTAGGGGATCCATCCCCATCTGGCTGGCACCTGCCTGTCTGCAGTAGTGGTGCCCCCTTCTGGGCTTTAAGGAGACAAGCACAAGATGGGCTCCTGGTGCCTGGCTCCTGCTGACAGTGAGGCACACCCAGATCTTGCTGTCTTTACCCTGTCCCTCAGAAACTCCTGGAGCATCATTAACATCATTCCTTCCTCACTCCTCTGATTTAGTCACAGACTCATCAGTCTCTTTACACAAAACAGCGTAGTTCTCAAGGCTGGAGACTTGGTTTGTGGAGTTTCAGTGGATATTTTCCTTATCCTTGTGACCAAGCAGCCCTCTCTCCTCTGTCCTAATCAGGAGCCACAATGCATTGTAACTTCTCCCATTATTCTCCAGGGTTCTTGCCACTGTGCATGGATGAGGATCTCACCTTAGTCTAGTCTATTATATATAAGGAGTGATTCTTGCCTGGTTCCTCTGTCAAGTTCCATGGCTTAGAATGGCCTATGCTCTACCTGCCCAATGCTCCTCTCTTGGAGGTGCAGCTGGAGCCTGCATTCCTCTGAATAGCTACTCAAGGAAGCTCACTTCTGGAACTCCCCCTCTCTTTACCTTCTAACACCATGGCATTGTGCCTCAGCATCAAGCAGCTACAGCCCAGGTCTTGCTGTCTTACCCCGGGATTTGAGAATTTCCCAGAATTTCCCAGGTTGGCCCCTATCTGCTTGCAGCAAATTCTTAGTTCAACCTAGAACCTGGCAGAGGACAAGCAGGCTGTGTCTTGGGATTCTGTGTTGTTTTGGCTTTTCAGAATATGGAGAGACTTTCTGACTTGATTTATAAATAATATTTACTACCCTTTTCTGGGATCTAGAATCGGAGTTTGGTGGCTACTGCTGCCCTCTACTGGACATGAGACAGAAGCCACCCCACAGGTAGGCAGCCCAAGGGGCTGGGCCACACTCACCACCAGAGAGCCGCACACAGCACCCCTGGCATAGTGATTGCCAGCTGCAGCATCCTCCAGTCTCTGATGAAGTATGCAAACAGAGGCAGCACCATGAAGCCAAATGCAAAAAATATGCACACTCCTAAGGTAGCGAATATAATTCGAATTGACTTGGAAAGAATTTCTGTTCCTGTAAAAAAAAAGGGGGGGGGCAAGCCAATCATTACTTAAGGCTATTTCCTTATGAATCTTCTGTGGTATTATTTTCAACATAGAGACAAGGAGGGAGCCTGAAATTGCTGTGCTTTGAGGCCCTGGAGGGGTCACATCTGAACTAAGTCTGCTTTGCTTTGCTCCTGGGTTGTTTCTCTGAGGTCCCTAGGCAACAGTGCTCTCATGAAAACATCATCAGCATCTTCAGCCACAGGCTAAAGAGGTCCTGTAAATCCTTAAATGGGCTAGAATTCACCAAAGGCAAAGTCTTTACTATGGCCGCACATGCCAACTATTGTCCTTCGAGGACAAATGTTCTAGTAAATGTGAAAAGAAAATAATAACCCTTTCCACAATACAACTCAAGGAGCCCAGTGATCTGATTCCAAACAGGGAGACTGGAAGCTTTCTGGTGGGAACATTTTTTCTTGTCTGAGGCAGAGCCTTGAAGGGTGGAGTATGACCAGAACCTGAACTGGACCACTCCACTCACTCACCTTGGTGGACACTGATAGCCACCAATGCTCTGCATCAGCTCCCTTTCCTGGGGAGTCTGCCCATTATACCCCACCTCCTTGGTGTGCCCCCCTCTTTCCTCAGGTACCTAAGCCCGTGACTTGTAAGTCCTTAAAAATGGATACACCATGGTGAATCCTAGTTAATGGCTTAATTACTAGTGAAGCCAAGGGGCCTCCAGTCAGACGCCGAAGAGAATTGGACATCAGAAGTCAGGAACCATTGCCAGGTTTAATTCTTCAGCTGCTAATCTAGGTTTATTTACTAGGGAAATCTAACCACTTTCCCTAGGAGGAACATCACAACTTGTCTCCAGAAAACTGAAAACAGTATCTAGAACTGAACTCAAATTGATGTCCATACCCAGGACAAATGCTGCCACGTAGTTGGATATATGACCCAATCCAACAAGGGTAAAGAGCGCAGTAAACATCTCGTAGCTCACAGAGAAGACCTGCAGGAAGCTGCATCCAGTGTGTATGCCGATGGTCAAAAACAGCACATTCTTCCGACCAAACCTGGGGAGGAAAGAAGGGTCACAGAGAAGCAGCTGGGAGAGGCAGCAGCAACTGACTTCACTGAGAGGGGCTTTCTCCTGTCACAAGGACTGGCACCCAGGGTAGTCCTAGTCTCTCAGTCTCCATGCTGTCATTGAATTTCAAAATTTCCTGGATGAATTTGTAGCCTGGACCCTGAGGTGCTCCAAAGGGAGTGCCACACTGATGCTAATGACTGCAGGGGATGGAAAGGGATTTGTTAAGTTTAAATCTACATATTCATAATAATTTTTAAAGACAAAAATACATGTAAAAAACTCATATATAACTGCATTACAATTTGTCTTTTATAGCATCAAGAGTATACTCCCTCAGAAGTTAAAATTTTTAACTGTATTTATTTACTTTTTTTTTTTTTTTTTTTCGAGACAGGGTTTTCTGTGGTTTGGAGTCTGTCCTGGAACTAGATCTTGTAGACCAGGCTGGTCTCGAACTCACAGAGATCCGCCTGCCTCTGCCTCCTGAGTGCTGGGATTAAAAGCATGTGCCACCACCTCCAGGCTATTTATTTACATTTTAAAGAGGGGATTGAGAAATAAAAACATGACAGAAATTTTATATACTTTACACAATAAAGTAGACAAACACACACATATTTTGATAAACAAAGTAGCCACTTGGGAGCAAAGTATATTTACAAAGAAATGGGTCAAAACCTGCAATGTAGTAACAGGCATACCTGGTAATTGTGTGCACTCAGTTTTATTACTGCAGGCAGCTGAAGCAGCATGATGTACAACCTGAGTGTTTCTTCTGTGGTACCAGGGATGGAAACCTTAGGTCAGTGTTCTACAATTGAGGTATATATCCCAGCTCACAATTCTATTTTTTTTTGTTTAAAAGTTTCCTTTCATTTTTATTTATTAGGGTATACCCATGTGAAGATCAGAGGTCAACTTGTGGATTTGATGTATCCATCCATCATATGAGTACTGGGGGTTGAACTCAGGTCATTATGTTTGGCAGCAAGCACATTTACCTATTGAGAGGGCAAAAGGTCACCAGGCAAGCAATCTAACTTTTTCCCCCTTGAGTTAAAAAATTATACTTATAATTTTATTTTCTATATATAGGTGTTTGGTCTGCATATATGTCTAGGTACTATATGCATGCCTAGTGCTCTCAGAAGTGAGAAGAGAGCATTAGAGCCACTAGAGCCAGAGTTACAGATGGTTGTGAGCCTTTATGTTGGTGCTGGAAACTGAACCTAAGTCCTGCAAAACAGTCAATGCTCTCAGTGTCTGAACTATCTTTCCAGCCCACAATCTAACTCTTGGGGAAAACAAACAAACAAACAAACAAACAAACCCCCCAAAAAGGCAACAACAAAACACCCTCCAACATTCACCCAAGGAGCTGAGATCTGGAGAAATTTTTATCTTTCATAAGTGCAGGTATACAAAAAGTACACCTCTTCATTTATTGAGGAAGTTTCAACATACCAGCACAATAATTACATACAAAAATCAATGTTGGGATAATGTACCTTCATGGAACCAAATTTTCATAAAATGCACAAAATGAAAATGCCTATATACCGTCTATATCCCTAGAACTGGAAATGATGCAAATTTGAAATATATAGCATAATGAATCATAGAAAATGATACAATTCAAAATAACTGGAGGAGATGGGCATAGTTCAGTGGCAGAGTGCATCCTTAGCACCCACAGGGCCCTGGATTTAATTTCCAGCACAAATGAAATGAAAATATAAACAGTTGCCCAAAAAAAATCCAACAAACAAAAATGTTAATTACGGGCATTGATTATGGGCAACTAACTGCATGAAGGCAGTCAGAGGAACAGGAGACTTGCATCATTACCTATAGGGTAGACTGTTGTCTTTGCTTAGATTAGCATGCATCTGTTTTCTTTTGGTCATGTGTTTTTGGAGAACACATTCACCTGCACTGTATACATGCAGGACCTTCTCCTCATCCCATGCAGACTCACACACTAGTTTCTTTGGGAAGTACCCTCTGACACATGGAAACACTGCTTTCTCAGGTTTCTAGGTGTCCATCTGCCCAATGTGTTGCAGTTTTCCTGAGTACCATCAAACAATGCATCAATCCCTTCTCTGGACATAAGCTTTTTTTTTTTTCCAAGACAGGGTTTCTCTGTGTAGCTTTGTGCACCAGGCTGGCCTCTAACTCACAGAGATCTTCCTGCTTCTGCCTCCTGAGTACACAGGTTCTTAAGTGTGGAGAGCTGCCATGCGCCGCGCCAGAAGATGGCGCCGGTTTCCGCCTTCCACCATCCCGAGGGTGAGCGCTCTCTGGAATAAACAACTCCTTATTTGGCTTGGTCTAAGATTCAAACTTGCATCAGCAAATGTGAGCCTATCTGCCTTAGCCACGTGGTGTTCTGGGGCTGGCTGGCAAGAGTGCTTTTAAGCTGTGGGGGGGTCTGAGTCAGAAGATTGTTTCAGTTTCCTGAGTAAACTGCTTAAGGAAGAGTCTCGGTGTTGCGTCTGCTGGTCGAGGTGGTCGAGACAAGTGGTGGCCTGTACGGGGAGTTCCTCCTCTGAAGAGACTCAGAACCTTCTGCAGCCAGGGCAGTGCACTGGTAAGTCCCAGGTGGGAGGGATAAAATTAAGGGCCCGTGAAGAGGGCGGAAAATCTACAGACCGGGACTAGATCGGTGATAAAGTTTTCCTTTCTCCATAGATAAAGAGAAAAAAAAGGGGGGGGGGGAATCTTGTGTTGTGCTAAATAGGGGCGTGTCGATCTCGAACCCAATTTTTGTGGCCCTGAATGAGTTGCTTCGCTTGAAGGGCTTAAAACTAAAACAAAGTACCCTAGATAATTTTTTAGATCAGGTGGACATAATAGCACCCTGGTTTGCAAACACTGGACAGCTTACAGTTCCTTCATAGGAAAAATTGGGGAGGCTATTGGACCACTGAGAAAGGAATTTCCTACTTTAGGATATCTTCATTATATGGATGACATATTATTGGCTGCTAAGGAAGAAAAAATGTTAGAGAAGGCCTATGTAAAATTAGTAAAGTTGCTTGAAAGAAAAAGGCTATTTATTGCCCCTGAAAAGGTTCAGAAAGAAAAAATTGTAAACTATTTGGGAACAAAGATTAGTGAGAACCGTATTATTCCACAAAAGGTAGAATTGAGGAAGGATAATTTGAAGACCCTAAATGATTTTCAAAAATTATTAGGAGATATAAATTGAATTAGGTGTTATTTGAAGCTACCGAATTATGAGTTGAAACCTTTGTATAATGTGTTGAATGGGGACTCGGCTCTAGATTCCCCTAGACAATAGACTTCTGAAGCAAGAAATGCCCTACAGAAGGTAGAGGAAAGATTACAAAGTGCCTTTCTACAGAGGTGTAAAGAAGGAGAAGCCATCACTATGTGTATTCTTCCTACATATTATCAACCTACAGGCTTGCTTTGGCAAGAGGGACCGCTGCTATGGATATACCCTAAAATATCTCCTGCTAAATCCATTGAGTATTATCCCACTGCCGTGGCAAAATTAGCCTTAAACGGGATCCAGCAATGCTTATAATATTTTGGCATAACCCCCAATATGATTGTGGTGCCTTATTCCAGTCATCAAGTTAATATTCTTTGCACCACAATTGATGATTGGGCCATCCTGCAGTGTGGATTTGATGGAGATATAGACAATCATTATCCTAAACATCCATTATTGGGGTATTTTAGGGAACATCCCGTGATATTTCCAAGGATAACCTCATCTCAACCAATTGTGGAAGCCCCGAATGTGTTTACTGATGGTTCTAAGACAGGTTGTGGAGCCTATATGATTAAGGGGCATAAGCCTGTGTTACACCAATTTCAACCTGGCTCCCCTCAGATTGTGGAATTAAAAATAGTATTAGAAGTTTTTAAGGCCTGTCCTTTTGCCTTTAATTTACTCTCAGATTCAGCTTATGTTGTTAACGCTGTCAAGACATTGGAAGTGGCTGGGACTATAAAGAGTGCCAGTCCAGTTTGCCTTTTATTTCAACAGCTTCAAAATTTAATTTGGCAAAGGAAAGCCTGTTTCTTTGTGCAACATATAAGAGCTCATACAGGTCTGCCAGGACCATTAAGTGAAGGTAATGATAAGGTTGATCACTGGACCAGAATGGAATGTATATTTTTGAGTTCTAAAAGGCAAGAGTTTTTCATAGGACCCTTCATGTGAACACTAGGGCCCTACAACAGAAATTTCATCTCTCTCGAGCTGATGCTTGGCAAGTGGTTCTAGATTGCCCTCAATGTGTAATTTTCAACATCCACCCAATGTAAGAGTGAATCCAAGAGGTCTACTCCCTTTGAGAGTGTGGCAAATGGATGTGACACATATATCTGAATTTGGAAGTCAAAAATAAGTACATGTGTCTGTGGACACCTGTTCAGGCGTCATGCACGCCACGCCTCTAACAGGAGAAAAGGCATGCAATGTTGTCACTCATTGCCTGGAAGCTTGGGCTGCTTGGGGTAAACCCCAACAGTAAAAAACTGATAATGGGCCAGCTTATACGGCCCAGACTTTTGCTTCATTCTGTCAGCGCATGGAGGTGCAACTTCTCCATGGATTGC